TATTATAAGCCTTAGTATTAACTTTTTTATAACCAAAATGATCAGCTCAAAAAGTTCTACAAACCGTGAAATTTTGACGCAATTTGGAGGAGTTGACTGTAACGATGGTAGGATTCCCACGGAATCACCCATCTTTTTTATTGAGAAAATTTTTTTTTTTATGAAAAACAATTTCATCAAAAAAGAAAACTTTTTATATCTCTGTAAGTGACACAAGAACTTTTTTATTTAAGATTTCGTATAAATTACTTATGGAATAAATATGATGTGCAATATGGAATAATCGATCAATTAGCACGAAGAAGCATGAGGTTAATATTTAGTCATTTTTTTTTAAAATTCACAACGTGGACATTCCTTATGGCTGGATTGGTCAAAAAAGCAGGCGAATTTTAATTGCAGTTTCAATCGGTAGACGATGAATTTTGATCAGAAAATTCTGAAATTAAGATGAATTATGAAGCAAACTCGAATAATTTTATTAAAATTATTAAATATAAATAAAGAATATTTAAAAATCGGATTTTGAAGTTTCATATGATAAAGATTCTCGACTTCTCTATCAAAACTATTCTTATGATCAGTTTTACTCTTTTGAAGGACTCAAAATGATTCTTTCAATATGTTTGTTTTAGTCGAATGATTAAAATGTGTTAGAGCAGTCGATAGTATTATTTCGATGGGTGATTTTTCTCTAAGTACTCGAAACTTCGATGAGTGTCGAGATGTCGAAATATATACGACGAGTCGAAAATGAGTCATCGATAGGGTACAGTGTCCGAGTGCTCGAAATTCGATGTGTATCGAGGCGATCGGAATTGAAACAGAACAAACAAAATATATATATATCAAATTTTCGACCGCTCGTCGCATCTATCGTATGCATTTTTTTGTTTGCTTGGGTAAAAACAAATTAATATTCAGTATTTGATATAAAATCGATGATTTATATTGATCTATTGATAGGCTATTTCAAGCAAAACTACATACCAATATGGATGGGGACATTTTGCACTAAGTCATTCAAAGCTCTTGTCATGTGTCAGGATGTTCGGAAATGATTTTTGTCCCTTCAAAGTCCCGAACATCTTGTCTTTTGTTACCTATGTTTCGGAAATCGTAATGAATGTCAACACCAGAAAATCGTGAGTGTGAGTTAAGAGAACACCTGCACTCACTCTCGCTTTCGTCTTTGGAGTGTGTACATTATGAAGATCCTAATGAACTATGAATACCCTGAGAAGACTTCGTGCTGTCAGCTTATCGTTGCCGCGATACTGCATTTTTATTGTGCTTTTAAGTAAAAGGTTATGATCCTTCTCAGAAACTCAAGAAAAACTGAGTTTCGAATTTTAAGTCAAATCTTTGTATGTAGACAGACTTCAATGAGAGAAGTTTGCTATGAATGTTTCAGATCTTTTAGTTGCTCCTAGTCTGAAATACGAACATCTGTATCTGCCGATATATATGAGTATGTAAGGGTGTGAGTCTTTCTTTCCCAAATCTACACTCACACCTCATATTTCTTCGAAGGCAATTTACAACTGGAGACTCATATTTAAACAGTGCTAAAAAACACATTACATGAAAGTTAGATGGAAATAGTGTTCGTTTCTTTGTAATATGCCTAGGAGTGTTGTTCGTAGTAGTTTTCTTTATCTCTATAATATAGACACTTACGACTCTGTTACCTAAACAATAACAAAAATCGGAGATGAGGAACAAAATATTTGGATGCAGTACTAGAAGTCAACCAGGTAAGTTACTGGTTCCAGTCGATTTTTTTTTTGTATAGAGCTTCAATCTTTCACAGAATTACACTTTAAATTATTGATAGCTAATACTAGAATTCGAACATACGGTAGAGGAAATTTATGAGGATAATCTGTCAAAAAGTTTTTTTTTTTTTTATTAACGTTGAAGAGTTCTCTCGAATCCGTCACGTGTACAAATATAATTCATAGGATGAACAGTTGCAATTCCTACCTATTTACTTATTTTTATGTTTAGTTGATTGTATTTCGAAATCAAATCTCACGTGTTCAATAAGATTCTTGAAGAATTCATTAGAATTTTCAAAAAAGTTGACCTTATATTTCAACGAATGTGAAGAATATGCTATGTTCAGAGAGTAAAGAATTGTATACGAAGTGTACTAAATTGTTTCATACCAGAACAGATTTAGACTGTAATAAAATGGATTTTCGCTAAAAATGAAAATAAAATACATCTATTGAACAGCTAATAGAACACAAATTTTCTGTTCGAAAATGGTCAAAGAAATCAGTTTTCAGACTTTTCTCACGATTGATCAAAAGAAATAGACCATTCTAATTAATGAGAATTTCTACACATTTTGATATAATAGAATTCTACATTTTCTTTTAATTTACAGCTAACATATATAGATATTCAATTTTTAATTCATAAATTCATAAATCGAAAACTTTTCTTGCTTGATGTTTTCAATCTCTTGTAACAAATGATTTTTATCAAATAGAATATTTTAATTATATTTTTAAATGAAATAAGTGAACTTCATTTTCCAATTTCAACTATAAAATCAACACAATTAAACTTTTACTCGATGAATATCAATAGAGCATTTTTTGGATATCTTGTATGATAATCTCATAAGAGAAATAATTTTCAAAATTGAGTACGTCAAGTTAGACTAGTTTTATTCCCAAGAATAAATGTTGCTCTTGATTTCGGAGTCAAATTTTGTAAATACAAACAGAACTTGTTCCAACAAAACTTTTTGTGAATGTTAAAATTAATTGAAGAGTTGATACTATTTCAAAATAATTCGAGTAACAATAATACTAGAAAATAATTTCATTTTTAAAAAGTAAATTAAGAAATCTTCGTATTACAAAGATACTGATTCATTGTTTGACCTATCAAATCTTAATGCATCAAAAAATGATGAATTAGAGAAATTAGATCACATCTACAACCCACAAAATTTATGTTATTAGCAAATTATTATCCGTTTCAAAATATAAGAGCCGTGACCATTTTTTCAATAACTTTTCATAGGAACAAGATAGAGTGGTGCGGTTTTCACCATTAGAAAGAGAAAACTTAGACGCATCAATCCATCTCAAAATATGATTGGTTGATAATGGACCAATCAGGTGCAATCTCGACAAAAATGTGGAACATCTCTTTCTGGAGACATTTTTCATTTCAATCCTGCTCATGAATTTATATATTGAGAGAAAAAACTTTTCTCTTTCGATTTACCAAAGGCTGACCTTTCTATCTTGTTCCATTCAAGAGTTATAAACGTTTTCTTAAGACCCCTGATTTCAGCTAATTGACCTCGGATCAGGCAGAAAATCATTATGCTGAGTCGAATGGTGATATTTGTTTCTGGATTCAAAATCTTCTTAAGGCATTACTTCAATATTTCTGAAATATGGACTCATGCGATACGATTCTTATGATATAGCGGTAAATATTGTGAAATGTAGAAAATTCCTAAAACAGAGAGGAAGATGGTTTTGAATCCAGAAACAAATATCACCATTCGACACAGCATAATGATTTTCTGCCTGATCCGAGGTCAATTAGCTGAAATCAGGGGTCTCAGGAAAACGTTTATAACTCTTGAATGGAACAAGATAGAAAGGTCAACCTTTCGTAGATCGAAAGAGAAAAGTTTTTTCTATCAATATATAAATTCATGAGCAGGATTGAAATGAAAAATGTCTCCAGATAGAGATGTTCAACATTTTTGTCGAGATTGTACCCGATTGGTCCATTATCAACCAATCATATTTTGAGATGGATTGATGTGTCTAAGTTTTCTCTTTCTAATGGTGAAAACCGCACCACTCTATCTTGTTCCTATGAAAAGTTATTGAAAAAATGGTCACGACTCTTATATTTTGAAACGGATAGTAGTTAGATAAATAGAGCACAAAATTCTACACAAGAATATATCTTTCTTGGTTTAGTTCATCGTCACATCTTAAAGTTCTAACATGAAAAACTTCCAGTTCATGTGGAAACATGTCGATTTTTGTTCATGTGTTACACTCTCAAAAGTATTTTGCTTATAACCTGGTCTAAAAATGACCTAGAAAGCCAGAAAATGTCTCGTTTTGTTCGGAATTACATCGACTAGAACTTCAGAAATAAAAAGAAATAACAAGCTGGATTATAGGGTTATGAAAAAAAGGACATTTTCGTATGAGCACAGCAAAGTGTTTGGCAAATTGTTTTTCATTTCTAAGAAAGACATATTCTTGTCTAGAATTTTGTGCTCTATTTATCTAACTAATTTCAAAAAATAAAAAAGTTTAGTTTTTATGACGAATGTTTTAAAAAACAAAGGCTAGCCAGTTTTGCTAAAACTTTTTCTTTTAAAAGATCTATGAAAATCTAATTATTTTTAAACTTCAAATACATCATCTTGTGCAGTTTTTTATGCTATTTCTTTTGGTGTATAATACATTGACATAGGATTTAACTTAACGAAGTAAATCGCTCTTGTTCGAGTTTTTGAGGTCGGATTCAATAAAATGGACTTTAGGTGACCAAAATAGAGTGCAAACTTGAAAATCTTTGTAGTAGTGGATAGCTCGTGAAATTCTCTATCGAAGCATCAAGGTTTCAATTTTTTATTAGCGAAAACTTTTCGGTTAAAAACAAAAGAATACTAAAAGGCAAAAAACACGTTTTTTACCTAAAAATCTTTTTAAAATTTTTAAAAACCGCAGTTAGAAAATCTAGCCACATCCCGTAGCGCATTTAATAGTTCATCTTTCATACTATCTGTATCACTTCTTAAATCAAATTTCTATCACTTATTGTTCGAAAAAAAGAAGAAAAACAAAAAGGCTTAAACTTTTGTCCAGCGGTGTAGATGAAGAAAAATATCATTGCTTGTTTCCTTTTTTTTTTCTTATTTTCTCACTCATCGTTTTTCTATTTAGCTCCGTATCATTTGTAACTAGTAGTCGAAGACTAAACAACAACGTTTCATAGAAATGAAATATGAAATAGAAAATGAAAGAGTAGGGATGATGAACAGTAATTCTCAAGTTGTTAAAACATTGGCATTGGTTGAAGATCCTCAAATACAACGATATCGCAAAATTCTTTTGATTATACTTGGCATTTTTCTCGTAAGATTCGAATGTTTTTTGTTTTCGATAAACTAGAAATAAAATCATTTTTCTAAACTAACATAAAAATGAAATAATCAATTATATTCATAGTTTTACACCTAAATTCTTCGTTTTATAAGAGAAAAAAAATCGTTAGATCATTTTAGTAACTATTTTGATTCTCTACTGGAGATTTTTGTTTAGACTTTGTGGTTAATTAATACAACTATTGGTATCGTAAATATTGCACATAATCCAAAAGAAAGTGTATCAGTTATTGCATCTCTTATTTCAATGCTTATCAGTGGTCTTGGATTTTGGGCTACGTATAAATACAATGCAACAGGTTTACGAGTGGTACGTTGTTGCATGTTTTCTAATAAATACTCTATACTAGAATATTTTATAGAAAAAAACAACATCATTTGATATTTTCTCTCTCAAATCCTGATTTTTGTGCTGATAAAACTCCAATCAGCTGTAATCTTTAAGATTTTTTTGGAGCTGAACTTACTAGATTATGACCAAAGTTTCAGTTCTATGCTATGACATTTGACCAAGATATAAATATATTTTAATTTCTGATACATTTCCTATGAAAAATTGCTCAATACAAACTTTTGATACTATCGAAGCTATTTATTAAAAAAAAGTTGTATAAAACATGTATTGAATTCTATTTCAGCATATCATTTACATATGTTGTGTTATCTATCAAAAGATAAAAACTTAAAAACTGAATAAAATGAACTAGATTTATATAATATTAATGTCTAACAATTTAATCTTTGTAGAATAAATAAGAGTGACAGGATAATCATTTTGACCAATCGAAAAAAACGATTGTGACTCATGTTGTGGTTCAAAATTAAGGCCCCCACCCCACCCCCTCAAAAAAAGTCACTTTTCACGAGAACTGTGAAAATTGAGATAAATCGATAGAAAAATAGCCCGTCACCTGCTCTTTCAGAATCAATAAAAATTTTCTCTAAAACCTCCATTTTTTTCCGAAATAGTTCAGAATTTCAGAGAACCAGTTTTCGAAAAACCAGCTGTTTTTTGGAATTTTCAAAAATCTTTTTCGTTTTCTCGTACGCGCATCCCAAATTTCTCTTTCATAGTTCGTCCATATATATTAATATTTTTTTTTCATTGGAAAGATTATGTCAAGACGCAGGGCAGTACGTCGCCCTTTTTTTTGAAATATCCCTTTTCTTTAGTCAGTTATATAATTTCAATACCATTTTTTGATCAATTTTTTAGTCATTGAGTTTGTAAATTCTTTTTTCCGATTAAAAAGGAGGTATTTCAGAAAAAAAAAGGACGACATACTGCCCTGCATCTTGACACGCTCTTTCCAATGAAAAAAAATTAATGTATTGGACGAACCATGAAAGAGAAATTTGGATTGCCAAATCAGCTATTTTTCGACCGTGTTTGATGAATATCTCCCTTAAATGAAACAGTTTTGGGCTAAAAATTTTACCATGAACTTCTTTTAATGTCTCCAACATATCCTCAAAATTTCAGCTCAATCTAACTTTCCTGGACCAAAAT